ATATGTATGTATGGACCTTTGTAATGCATATATTTTAATACTAGTATGTATACATATATGTATGTATTTATGTACATAGGTATGTGTGTATGTATTTATATATGTACATAAGTATGTATGTACATATGTATGTATGTATGTATATATACATGTATGTATGTAAGTACGTAGCTATGAAGGCGAATAGCTTTAGGCATTTCAAGGATTGTACGTGTATGTGGTCGACTAATACAAGCAACATCAACATGGGTTTAGGGCTCTTTTCCAGTCCATCCTCAGGCCTGTGTTGTGGTTTAGGCCCACATACACCCGAGTACAGCCAGTGCAAGCACAGTGATACTTTCTATGTAGATTTGTATATGTTTGTATGTAGATGAACAGTACTAACTTACTATTCACGGATATAACTGCAGGCCAACCAATGGTACCTGACAGAGGAATCGAACTATACCACTCGCATACTTATGGTGACTGCAATGGAATCTATAGTAAAGGCTAATCGCATAATCGCATTATACGACACCTACACATATGCCCATTGCAGGACACCCACACTCATGTATATGACACCAACACGTCTGGTACGACAGTTGCAAACCCAGACCCCTTGTAAGACAATGACACACACCTACACATTTTGTACGACAATTGCAACCGCAAACACCGTGTAAGACAACAACACGCACCTACGTGCCCTACGCCTTGTCCTTGTAAGACAATGACACACACATACGTGCCCTACGCCTTGTACGACAATGGCAAACACCTACACGTCTTGTACGACAATGGAAAACACCTACACGTCTTGTACGACAATGGCAAACACCTACACGTCTTGTACGACAATGACACACACATCGTGCCCTACGCCTTGTCCTTGTACGCGAATGGCACCTACCTGTAAGAGTTGTCAGTTGGCGCGCACTATCGACATGCGCGAGAGTGGACCCCAATGACTTTTCGGCCAAGGATTCGTTCGACGCATTCTCGTCGTAAATCTGACAGACAAACATAAAAAAGTTATTTCGGACAGTGATTGCGAATTCGGATAGGAATCGTAAATTCGGGTCGGGGAATCAATTCCGATGCCCAGTGTAAGTATATATCAAAGCACACCAAGGTACCACTCTGAATAAAATAAATCACAGGCGACACACACTTTCATGCCTACTTACTTCATTCAGATAAAGCTCTGGTGCGTGATCGACTTGGTACAACTCATCGAGCGCAAAGTCTTCTGTAGACACGCGCTGCTGGTAGACGTCTGATGGAATGTACGACAAAACAATAGCGAAGAGGAAAACTTAGTTGATCACGGAGATAAACTTGATTTGGTTAAAAAAACCCATAGATCTAAGACAAGTAGATGGCAGTTCACCTCTGCAATATTAGCAGAAATCAGATGCACACACAC